GGGGGGGGGGCTTGATGGGGGCCATGGGGCCTTTGGGGTCCTCCCCCTGAGGGAACTAGTAACAGAAATGCACTAGTGTTGCACAAACGGGATTAACAACAAGGGAAGGTCGTCGAATCTGGCAATGCATTCTGAGCAATCTGAGCAGTGACCGAATCCGAGGTCCATGCTCTTCCCCCAATCATGGGCTTTGAAGACAAAAAGAGTGGCGCCGTGCCGGGGGACGCCACCGGCGCATCAATAGCCAAGGTGCCAACCCGACCGGACCTCATTTCAAAGATTTGGAAATTTCCCCCGGACGAACGACCGAAGTGAACATGGGACCTTGTGAAGTCATGGCCAGCCTCCGGCTCGATTGCAAATCTTTTGAGCAAGTTAGTCATTCACGTGCCTATCTCCTCCCTCTTTTTGTGTCTCGGTGATGGAGGCGGTAAAAGAAATCCGCTAGAATTGTTCTTCCATCTTCACTTCCCCTTTTCTTGTCGACCAGGTCGGAGTATCTCTCTCTGTCAGGAGAAAAAGGGAATGAAAATCAGCCGAAAGTGATGACAGTTGGATGAATGGAACCAAACACCAACGAGCCGTGTAAGTTGTTGCCAAATGCATGATCAGAAGCAAGGAACCCAACACTCAAAGAGATAACGGTGTCAGCTGTGATAAAAAAAGAGAAAGCTTGTTACTTCAATTGTGCCGGTTTTCCGATCGACTGAACGAAAAGCGTGCTGTTGTCGTCACGGTGTTCTGCTTCAGGTTCAGGTTCCGTCCATCAGTAACGCCATCTGGGGAAGTGGACAACGGACGGATGTCGAAGATCCGGGGGCGCGCCTAATCCACTGGATTTAAGCTTATGAATGGCGCACATCCGCTGTGCACAAGATTTGTGCAACATGGCCCACTGACTCCCGGGGCCCGCCCACCTTTCCTTCCAGGTAAACCAGGACGACCCCTGCCCCTCCCGTCTGCCCGGGATGGCTCTTCAACCCCGAACCCTCGCCCGCTTTATACCACCTTCCATTGCACAGAATCTCTTTTTGCTGGAGCTTGTTCCTTCCGGGCGGCGCGCTGGGCGGGCTCTTGCACAACTTTGAGACAACTTGGCGGTCTCAAAGCTCTACAGTCTGCACAACTTGAACATGACGGATCGAACGAAGGATCCATCACCCTTTTTCCCACTCACAATTTTCACAAGTGTCCACAAATCCTCCACAGATCCCAAATGAACGCCTCCCACCAAGGAGTCCAGTCCAGGCGCGCGCACAGGCAACACGCAACACGTCTCCATATGGCCCGCCCCTGGCCCCTGCTCCTTTACAAACTCCAGAAACTCCAGCAAGTGGACATCAACCAATCTCGCCAAAATTCCATGGTGAGTTTCTGGCGGGAAATACAGGGGCTTTTTAGAGTTTAGCATCCACGCATCCAGGCACAAATGGAACTGCCCGTGGACCCGACCTCAGGGCATGTTCGTTGTGTTCTGGAAAGGACAGGACAGGACAGAAAGAACGGAGCCTACCTCTACGGAGATGGATCACGGAGAACGCCTGCCAATGATAATTCACAATTCACAATACACACATGTACAAACCGGTCTTCAACTCTTGTCCGAGCACAAGGTCCCAAGGAAGCTATGGGGGAGTAGACGGAGCTGGGAGCCGCTGGAGGAGATGGGTTCATCAGTTGGAATTGATCTCGAACCATCTGTCAGATCATCAGATCAGATCACCGAACCGAACCGAATTGTTGCTGATCTGATCCTACTAATCAAGGGGTGAGTGAAGCGGAGCTTGCCATTTTCCCTTTTTTTTTTTCTTTTTCCATTTTGAACTTGCATCCATTCAAGCGGTCGGTGATGCATGCAATCAGTCGCAGCGGCGGTCTGTTCTGTTCTGTTCTGTTCTGTTGAGCTGCTGTGGATTTACTACTTGGGTTGTCTTCTCCTGATTTTTTCCTCTTTTGATCTCTTGAATTTCTTTGATATAAAAACGTGTTGAAATCCTGTGAAACTGTTTGCTCTCTCAACAGACTGCGAAGATCTCGCAAATTATTCCAGATTATTCGGTTTTGATTTTCCAGCATCGGTCCACGGCAAATGCGACGCCCGATGGCCGACAGGATGCAGCCTGCGGGCGGGCATTCCCGTTCTGGGCGTTTCTGGGCATACACAATTGTACATGCAGTACATTGTCTTTTGTGATGTGCTGGGCGTGGGCGCGGGCGCGGGAAGGATTGATTGATTGATTGACATTTTCAATTTGGGGCGGATGCTGTGCCGTGAGGGTTTGGGGCCCGGGTGAAATCGTCTTGGCTTTCCTAGGCTGGCGAGGAGCTGGGTGAGGTGTGTTTTTCGCCAAGGCCAACGCAGGAAGTGGAAAGATCACTTTGTCCGAAGGGAGGCGCTTCGCAATGCTGATGCCATGTGCCACCCCGCTGAGCCATCCGGCTGAAATGCTTGTTGTCATTGCCGATTGAATGGATTTGCAACGGATGGATTGAATGTCACTGATCTGATTAGCATCTTGACCTCGGAACGGGTTTTGATTTGAGAGATCTAAGCCTCAATCCGTCAGGTTGACTAATACGGGGTTTAGCTGGGTACCCGTACGTACACGTGTATTTCGTATTGATCACCGACTGCCATTTTAAGATTATTCCCTCTCGCTGATTGGTCAGATTGAGCTGAAGAGTCTCGCCCACCTTCCACGAGCCGGGGCGGCCGAGCGTCGGGTTTGTCTCCGTTCCGGATCGACGAAGGGCGGATCTTCAACACGCTGCCACGCATCAACCCGGTGATTAAAGTTTATGTGCCATGGTTCCGGGGACACCGAGCAGCTCGAAAAAGAGTCCCTGCAGGGCTGAAGTTTAAAGTTTGTATGTATACGTACCTTACCTGGAGTCGTACATCTACAAAGACACGTGGGAAAAAGAGCCGCAACAACAACAGCGGTCCGGTACTGGCAGAGATCCCGGATGCGGTGCCGTCGTTGCCGTGCTTGCCGCTGGATATCCACTGCCCACTGTCTGCAATGGTGAACCCTATTTTACATAACACACCACACGCAAAACCATGCAACAAACTGCGCGATAAACGAAATATTTTGTTCAAGATGGGAGACTTGGATATATACAGCATGGTATTCATGAACAGAGGTGAGTTATCCTCAAAACTCCAGACCACCGGAAAGAGGAAATTCTTCAATCGAAAGGAAACCACGCAAACGCCGGCACATTCAGGGTATCACTACATCAAACCGAAACAAAACAAAACAAAAACCGCAAAGCCAACAGAAATCGAAACAAAGCAAAAGAAATGCGTCCGCAACGTCAACAAACCGGCGGAAGCTCAACATCTCGTGGGGGGTTCATCTCTCTTCGCACCCGGCGCACCCACTCCTCGCGGGACATCGCATGGCGTAAAGAAGGCCGCACTGCTAATAGAGCTCAGGATGTCTAACGCCGGCCCTGCCTCTTGCAGAACACCAGTCGCACTGAACAGGGAAAAAGCGGTCATGTCAGCAAAATACCGCTCGAAATTTCCGAGAGAAAGCAATATGGGAGAAAAACTCACAGTAACATGGTTCGAGCCCTCATTATGAATGAGACAGTAGCCTCCGCCGCAACGGTTGCACATGCGTTGAGTGTCGTTGATGCAATCACGGCACTGGCCAAAAAGAAAGAAGTGTCAGCAGGGATATACTCCGAAGCTAGTCAGTCAACCAGAGCGGGGGACATGGGAAATCGTCTTACATTCATGCCGCACTCCCAGCAACTCTTGTGTACACGAGCAAGATCAGCCATCTTAGCCCGCGAAGCTTCGCCATTAGGAACCGATGCCCAAGGCCCAACATAGCAGGTCTCGCACCACCACTTGTTGCAGCGATTGCAGTACCGGTCACGGATGCAGTCATAGCAGCGCGGGATGAAGCGGGCCTGTTCGCCCTTACTCCTGAACTGGGAAAGACGGGTATAGACCGACTGGCCCGTCGGACACATGGCAGACTTCAGGCTGACCGAGTGCATCGGCGGCGGGGCGAGCAAGGGAAACCGGCCGATATCCGTTGTCATCGTGCCACCTTCGCTTGCCCTCCTCTCGTAGGGATCACGCTCTGTTGGCGGTTCCTCGCCCCAGATCGTCCATCCCTCGGGAGCTGAGCCACAGCCGGCACAACCACCCAGACTGTGCGTGGCGATAGCGTGGATAGGAACGTCTTTCGATGCTGGGTTGCCTGCGGCATTCAGCGCCTCGATGTCCACTGTTCCCCACGCGCGAGAGTTCATGTGTCTGGGGCCAGTGCAGAGGACGGCGTCGAAGGCGATGATGCCGTGGCATGCGACCAGCGTGGACGCCCAGGCCGCCCATTGCTGAGTGTTTCCACTTAGGACTGGGAACTGAGCACCGCGCTTAGCATACCACGCCTCTGGCTCTTGGTCAGCTCCACCAGCACCGGCATCCCACAAAATTGATGGGCATGTCGAGGTCGGAGTAGAAGCTCCCGAACTGGTCAAAGCAGGACGTGCCGAATCCTTGGGCCCAAAAACGTAGAGGCCCTTCAAGCGCGGGGTTCCCTCGGGTCTGGATGGTCGGCACGCATACTGCAGGGTGGCACGCAGCTTTGCTTCGTTCATGTTCGCCACATGACGGATCGAGAGTATCTTAATCGAGTATGTCGGGTCGCTGATGATTTCGTGGACTAGCTCGGAGGTGACGGAGAGTCCGTCGAGGCAAAGGACTTGGACATGTCGGAGGATGTCTAGACTCCGAAGACTAGCGAAGATACAACGAAGGTGGCCCGAGTAGACGCTGTTCCGTTAATGAACATGTCAGCAGACGTTCGATTAGGCATGGTATTATTTGGAGGAGTGTGTTTACTCGTCTTCCGTCTGGTCTCCGTCTGGCTCGCCACCGCGAGGAGATTTGTCCCCGATGTACTGTGCCTTCCTGACAGTAGTAAGGTCCAAACGACTGAAGAGGTGAGGCGTGGAGTAGAGGATATATCGGAAGGTACGCGAGGTGGCAGCTAGATTCAAGACATCGTAGGAAGACAAGTAGGGAGTGGTATGGTTTAAGACCAACGAGTTGGCAAGAAGTTGGAGGAGGGCGTTGTGGCGGATCTCGTGAGGCAGGCTGGCGCTCTGTGTCATGGTTCCCGTATACGGTCTTTCAAAGGCAAAGCGAGGAGATGATGTACGTGCGGCAAGATGAAGGGTCGATAGGTAAGAACGAGAAGAAATAGAGCTCAGGTAGGGGAAGAAAGAAAGGTTTTAAAAACACCTCCTCCGAGCAGGGGAAGCAAGTTAAGGGTCTTGGACAAGAGTAGGGATGATGCATGTAAATATAGTGTTTAGTCTTGTGGGAGGGGTCTTTGGATCGGTCCGTTCAAGGGTCAAGGGGGAAGACTCGATGGGCGGCAGTTGCTATTCTGAGAGATGCTAACGCCAAGAGTGTCCAGTGGTACTTGGTGGTTCAAAGGCGCGTCGTTGACACGCTGTGAAACTGGGTTCGACTATCACGGAGCTCACAGCTGTCATCATCTGGATTGCATATAAGGTAGTGTGGGGTTGAGGAGTCGTAAACAAAGACGGGGATGTTGGAGGCGTAACTTGTCTCAAAGCTCGACGCCCTGTTTGACTTTGGGTACCAGTACCGCTGATCCGTCTTGTCTGTGCGTCAACCATCCGAGCCGCGGGGATCGACATGATAATCTTTGATAGCAGTGCGACACAAAGAGTCTCATTGGATTGACTGTTGGGATCAGATAAGGTGTTTGGTGAACTCGACTGCGACTTGGAGCGTATTGGATGGTACTGGATATTGGGGTCGTGAGGGATGGAGGTTGGGGTAGAACACCACCCGACGAGCCAAGGATTTATAATATAAAATACTCCAACATATTAACCGGCTTTAGCGCTGTGTCTAAGCGGGCAGCTTGTGCAAACCGTGGTTCATGTCCCCCCTTCTCCTCCACCTCCTGTGGAGGCTATTCTAGGGGTTTTGTGCTCCGTGACAGGTGGTTTTGTGCTGGGATGCTGCGACTCTGCGGCGAGATGGCCAGACGGGAGGTCATCAAGCCGGGGTGCCAGTAAAGTGGCCCTGCGTTGCAACGTGGGGTGTCCTTTTGATCCCAGTGGAAAAGCTGCCGAGTTGGAGTCGACGACATGCAGATGTGTACCGTCGACGTGGACACGTGGACACCCTTTTCTCCTAACAATATGGGATATCTGTGGGATGTCGAGCATAGAAAGAAGAAAAAGGAAATAGGAAGCGTAAAGAGACCCAACGGCAGCATGATGGTGTGAGACGACGTGCAGGAAAGCCGGGGAAGCTGGATATGGTTTTGGGGGAATAAGCTTTAGACCAATGCTGGAGCTAGAAATCTTATCGTACGTATAGGTACCTAGAATAGTCCGGTCATCTACTGGTTAGCGTCGTCTAAAGGAATGGTCTTGTTAACCCCCCGCGGACGGACTCAGACGACAAGTCCGGTAAAATGGCCTTTTGTCAAAAGAGAACACATCCTTCGTTAGTAATCTTATGGCTCGATCCCCGACGGACAACATTGCCGTCTTGGCCTTCATGCTGTACAAGTACGGCCCGGTGTCCGATGGCGGTGAACGGTCAACGGGATCCGGCTCGCTCAAGGCCATTTGGTACAAAATCCGAACCCTCCTCCTTCTGGCATTCTGGCGTGTGCACTCCGATGGTCGGTGGTTACGACGTGACATGGCGCCATCCGGATCTTCTTGAGACTCTGGCCGTCTCATTGTCACAGTTGGAGATTTGGCCGAGTTGCTTCCAGACTTCCCCGCCGTCGTGGCATCGCTCGAAGTCAAGCACTGAACCCCACTTTGCTTACCCTGGCTTGACTCCACTCTGTCCGCCGGCACGGGCAACCCTTAGAGGTGGGGCAAGGTAGCGCTGGAGATCATGCCGTCAGCGTCGCTTTCCCTTGCCTGCCAAAAAGCTCCCTTTGCTCTTGTCCATCTTCAATCCCTTTCCAATTTCTTTTCATCTTTCATCATGAAGTTCCACATCTTCGTCTACCCTTGCTAGTCTTTTTATCCGGACCTGTACTTCAGCTTGATGGTTAAGATTTTCATGATTCTAAAACCTAGATGAAGTAGCTGCTTTGATGAACAAGATCTCATCACTTGAGATTACCATTTTACACCCATTACGTAGATGTGCATGTACACTTTCAAGTACCTCCGGTTATGGAGACCAGCGCCGTTGGAGAGGATCATTAACAGCAATACAGTCTTTTGATTGGATAAACCTATGGCTGGAGTGGATGGAATCTCCAAGAAGCTTTCAGGCTTCTTCCGAATTGCGCAGCTCACCAATCTTCTCTGCTGACTTATCTAGTATTGGTAGAACGTAGTCGGAAAATTCATTCATTCATTCATTCTCTGTTGACTGAGCAAATCCGCCGCGATTCTTCCATCATACATCATCATCAACCTTCGCATCTGTGGCGCTTCTTGTCCGAAAGGATCTCAATAATTCAACCACCGTTCACACCGATCCGATTGCTGTCACCGCAACACAATATCTAATACAGCCATAATTTGCCGCAAACTCTATCTACACCGAAGCCCATACGTTCTGCATTTCCAACTCCAGAACACCGCTCCGCGATTCTTGCTCACCGTTCTAAAATCGAGCCCGTACGCCATTCGAACAGAGCGACAGGCGCACGCAATAACGGCACTCGACGAAATGACTGAACAATCGGTGCACCTGAACTGGTCGGCACCGTTCAATGTCGCCCACCCTTCGCGCATCGCCAGCAAAGACTTACAGGGCGACAAGATCCTTCTTCCGCAGTCTGCATTGGAGCAGCTCCTTTCCGCCTCGACGACCATCTCGACAACCCCTTCGAATCCCCATACCTTTACCGCCTTCGACCCTTACAATCCATACTCCGTCGCCGCCGCCCGTCGAGAGCGCTCCAATTTCCGTGAAACAACACAACAGCTACCGCATCCCTTGATGTTCCAGCTTGTCAACCAGAAAAACGGAAATTCGGTCTTTGCGGGTATTCGGGAGTTTTCGGCAAATGAAGGGGAGGTCGCTCTAAGCCCTTACCTTCTCGAAGCTTTGGGTATCCATGAGGATGACATCAAGGACACCTCGGCGCCAGCAGATGCACAGACGGAAGGGCCAGAGGTCGTCGACCTTACGCAGGACGATGCGATCAGCCAAATAACCGAGGGTTACCGAATCACAGTCAAGGCTAGGCAATTACCAAAGGGTACCTATGTACGGCTACGCCCATTAGAGGCCGGTTATAATCCAGACGACTGGAAGTCGTTACTCGAAAGACAGCTTCGCGCCAGCTACACTACCCTAACAAAGGACTCTATTCTCTCCGTTACGGGTGTTAAAGGAGAAGAGTTCCGTTTCCTCGTCGACAAATTCCAACCCGAGGGTAACGGCATATGTGTTGTGGACACAGATCTCGAGGTCGATATCGAACCACTTAACGAGGAACAAGCTCGTGAAACACTACGACAAGTTGCGGAAAAGTCGCAAAGAGCACCAGGGACCGAGGCTGGCAGTTCAGTTGGCCATGAGATAGACATCTGGAAAGATCTCCATGGGCAAGTTTTGGAAGGGGATTATGTTGACTATGCTCTACCCTCCTGGGACAAGTCACGCCCGCTTGCAATCGAGCTATCAATCGAAGATGATCAAGAGGTCGACCTCCTCATTAGCCCAAAGTCAAACCGACAACGAGCCCTACCCCGGGATTCCGAACACATCTTTGCCGAGTTTTCGTCGCCCAAAGACGGCGTTAAGCGCATTGTCATTCAGCCTACCAACGTCGAACTCGAGGGTGCGGAAAGCCTTTTGATAACTGTTTATGGCTCATCGATACCGGACCATCCTACTTCCATGATAACACCTCGACGCTTTACCCTCCGAGCCAAAGTCGAAGAGGCACAAGGTTCCGCAGCAGCGCCGGTTGATCTCGCGAGTTCGTCCTCAAAGAATGCCGACGAGGAACAGTGCAAGAACTGCCTGCAGTTCGTGCCAAAGCGGACGATCGTCTTGCACGAGAATTTCTGCCTCCGAAACAACATTGTTTGTCCTCAATGCAAAAATGTCTTCAAGAAATCATCAGAAGAGTGGACTGCCCATTGGCACTGCCCCACGCACCCGGAGGCATATGGCTCAACGCCATTTAGCAAGGCCAAGCACGATTACATCCAGCACACAACCCACACTTGCCCGTCTTGTGGGCCAAGTAGCCCATTTTCTTTCCCGTCTTTGACCGAACTTGCGCGCCACCGCACCACAGTGTGCCCTGGCAAACTTATCCTGTGCCAGTTCTGTCACCTTGAAGTGCCGCAGGAGGGAGACCCGCTTGATCCGGCTTCGGAAGCCGAGACCGTCATATCAGGCCTTACCGCCCATGAGCGGGCTGATGGTGCTCGCACGACCGACTGCCATCTCTGCGGAGCCATTGTCCGTCTGAGGGACATGGCTGCCCATGTAACCCACCATGAGCTGGACAAGGTTTCTCGCCCGAAGCCGGAGGTATGCAGAGATGAGCTCTGTGGACGGACTCTCCATGGTGTTGGTCCTCGCGGTCAAATCAACGGCGGAACCCGTATGGGCCAAGGCCCGGGTAACGACCTCGGCCTTTGCAGTCTGTGTTTCTCTCCGCTCTACGTTAGCATGCACGATCCTGAAGGAAAGGCTCTACGAAGGAGGATTGAGAGGCGCTACCTTGCCCAGCTGATGACAGGCTGTGGTAAGAAATGGTGCCAGAACGAGTGGTGCAAGACGGGCCGCGCCAACCAAGGACTGGAACCTCTGGGCTCGAGTGCTGCGGCTGCTCTACCTTTGGTAAAACCCCTGCTGGAGGATATCAGAGATCATTCGAATTCTATGCACTTCTGTGTCGATGAGGCATCTCAGCGCCGTAAGAAGACCGCTGAGATGTTGGCTGTGGAAGGTGTCTGGGAGCGTGAATGGTGCATTGCCGCACTCGAAGCCGAAGGTGGTGATCTTGCAAAGGCCAGAGGCTGGTTGACTGACTGGGCGCCGACAAAGTTCGGCAACTAATACGGTACGCATGTCAAACATACACGGTATCCTGGAGCACGGCGGCCGGTTGGCCTGGTGGAACGATACATCGGGCTTGAGCATAATAGACGAGTCGACTATTGATACCCTTCGATAGAGACACGACATCATTAGACGGCATCTAGGGAGATAATAGAGCAACAAGCTTCAATACTTGTTCATATTTCCCACATACAATATTTCACCATATCATTATGTTTCCTTTCCCATCAGCCATGTCGGGCTCCTGTTCTTGCCGCCATCGATCTTTGGGAAAGGGAAGTTGGGCTCAGTGTGACTATAGAATGTTGATGGACGTCAGCAACCAAGACTTAATATCGTTCTTGACCCGGCAACATACGCAGCAACTGCAGCCATCGCAGTTTGTGCAAGAACACGAAGTGCATCCACAGGGACTCATCTCGGCTTGGTGTATGAAGTATGGTACTGAGATGTTGGGATCTTTCAAGAGCTTGTCAGGTTTGATGATTTTGTTGAGTTCTTGAAGCAGATGAGATGCCTGATGCTAACACTTACTTCCGTGGGAGGATAAGCATTGGCTTTATACTTCTCGTACCCCAACATACCAATGACGAGAATGAGGAGAAGCCCCAAAATCCATTATCTATCGATTGCCTAATCTGGCCATTGATCACCTATCTACGATCACAAGATAGCTAACATCCAGTAACGTACACGAATGGGATCAGAGCACGAGCGCCTAGTTGGAGGTTTCGTGGGATGTCCGCATCTGCCAAGGACGCAAACAACAGTTTTGGGATGAACATGACGACCCATGATTATTTGGGAGGAACTAAGGCCGACGATTTGCGTCACGACTTGCTTATTGACCGGTTGACTTTACACTTCGATATGATAAGTCGTACGCCTCGTCGACTTCTATCGGCTACAACCTCGAACCTGCTGCTTCAAAGCCTTGACAGAAGTTTATCGATGTTCAATTAAGACCTCTTCCCCGCACCTCCCATCTGACTTGAACCGTGGGAAGTGTCCTTATCCGTGATAACCTCACCCAAACACAAGCTCAAAGGGCAGGAGACGCGATGATGCTCACGGAGATAAGCGGGATATCGAATAGCATGGTCGAGAAGCGTACCGATGATGCAACCTGAGATTTTGGAACAGCTCCTTGTTGATGCAACTCTGCGCTCAGGGACGGAGCCCTCATCGAAACCGCTGTGAAACGGCACAGTCTTGGCAGCGTGAACTCACCCGCGCCAGTAATAGTTACCCAGTCTTTCTACTTCCATGATGGTTTGTATTCACATCAACAAGAAATCTATTGATGACTTCTCTAAAGCCTAGTTTCAACATCGCAATCTCTTTTTATTCGAACAGAACCTATACGTAGGTAGTACTGTAGGTAGCAAAAGCTACCTGCACGCAACAGACAAGAAACATGCTTCAACCACGACTCCTCTTCTTCCTCCTTTCTTCACTCCTCACCTGGTCCTCACTCCCACCACCAGCAACCGCTCTCCCGCAACTCCCAACCGGCGCCGACCTCCTCCTCCAAGAAGACACCGGCCAAGTGAAGATCAACCCTTCATCAACATCCACCGCCAACGACGACGGCATCAACCTTCCCATCCGCGCCACCATCTTCTCCGGCGTCCCCGGCCCATCCCACTGCCGCGGCCACGTCCTCCTCCTCCTCCTCGTCAACCTGCCCCAACCAGCACCACCACCCCTCAACCCCGACAATAACAACACCCCCGTCACCATCACCCCCTCCACCTCACCGCAATGCTACAACATCCCCGGCGGCGATAGTCCAGCCGCAACCGCAACAGCATCAGCAGGCTGTGGCATCTTCCAAGCCAACAAATCCGCCGGGTGCGAAGCGCGCGTGTTCGCCGAGCCGAACTGCATCGGGTACTTGAACACGGTGGTCTTCATCCCCGAGGAGCGGGCGGTTGGCGGGGTCTGGAAGAGCGTGGAGGTGAGGTGTGGAGTTCCGGCTCCCAGCGACCCGGAGACGTTGGGGAAGCCGCCGCTGGCAGGAATGATGGGACAGGGCGGGATGAGGGTTAAGGAGGGTAAGAAAGCTGGGAGGAGGGGGAGGGGGTAGAGAAGGAGGAGGTAGAACTTGCCTGAAACCTTTGGACACTCGCCGAGTGTAAGCAGCATTGTTGAAGTATTTGAGAGCGCATCAGTTCAGTTACAGTGCATGGTCAATCGCTGAAGGATCCTTTTGATGGTACAAAACAAAACCCAAACTTGAGCTTGTGCGCGCCGTTTATAAATACGTAAAGGCGTGTTCGTTTACCTGTAGGCAGTAGCATAGTGACAGAAGCCTTTTTCTAGTGCGCAAAACGCCTTGGGTCAGGGTTAGAAGAGCTTCTCTTACAAGTACTGTACTACTGCAAGAACGAACACTGCCAGCCTAAGCCTCTCGAGCACCATGATATTTATTTCAAGTTTGGAGAAAGGAGCGTATAGCCGCGCGACGCATTGTCAACGAGGCCAGGTTCATAATGGTACGGTTAGAAGCAGTTTGATAACAATCGCACAGCCCGATTAGCTCAGCTGGTTAGAGCGTCGTACTAATATCTTCTTTGAGATATCAAGTCAATGCGAAGGTCAACAGTTCAATCCTGTTATTGGGCATATCTTTTTCCACTTTTTTGCAGCTTGATTATATAATAAATATCCTTATTTTTCTCCCATTTTTTCCACCATTTTCCTCTTTCTTTTATTTCATTATGCATTTCCTATTCTTTTTCGATTGTTGTCGTGTCAACAGCGCCCCTATGGCGCTCGCAGTTGAGGGGTGTCTATATATGGGTCGGGCAAGCGCGAGCCCAAAACCGGAGTCGAAGCATGAAATCTCCACGCCAGTCAAATGAAGAAGGAAGGAAGGAAGGAGGAGGATGTATTGAAAAAAACAAGCAAGACTGCCTAGATACACTTGTAACTTGAAACAAATCCAAGATGATTACTGAGCATCCACACCTTGACTACAAAGCACAAGATCCCAAGCCCAGTACCAGTTCCCGAGTCCCCATCCCGAACCATCAACGCCAAGAAGTCAAACTACCACCTCCTCCCAAACATATCACGTTGAAAACATGTCCGAAATCCCAGCCCAGAGATTGTCCGAAGAAACAATTAAACCATCAGTACTCGCCCTTCTTCTTCCTCTTCCTTCTCATCCCCATCTTCACTCTTTACCCCTTCCTAAGGAGCAACAGAAGCGTACAGCTTCGCATTATCAAACTCGGCGCTCGCGCACCCGTTCGGGCTCGGAATCTGATACTGCTTCGCACCCGTAATTCCCAAGTTGGTACCGCTCGTGAGGGTTGCATACGCGTTCTGGAACCAGACCTGGGTGAACTGGGCAAAACCGGCCAGGGCGGTGCCGTAGTAGGGCCGCTCGACGACCCAGTCGGCATCGACGCGAGCGAGGGTGGCGCCTGTGTAGATGTTGAAGCTTTGGGTGTAGCCGCGGCTGGTGTTTATGATTTTTCTGAAGCGTGGGGTTAGCTTGGGGTTTATGGAGAAAGGAGGGGGAACTGGAGGTGAAGGATAAAGGAAGGAGGACAGATGAAGAAGACTTGGGTCCGAAGCCTAGAGTTGAAAGATGGTGAAGCTGCCGTTGTTTGTTCAGTGTGTGAGAAGAACCGGGGAGTAAGGCATGTTTGTTCGCTGGTGCTGAGGTCGGGGCCAGCAATGATACGAATAAATCCTGCAAAAAAATTGAAAAGAAATGAGATTTTATACTTACATGTTCGCTGCTGTGGCGGAGGTCGTGTTAATGGTGATATCAAACCAATCACCAGCAAAGACGGGAATATTGGCAATTGTGTAGGCACCACTGGGGACCCATTGCCACCAGACTTCGTTCCTGTTGGGCGAAAAACGTTAGTTCTGGCTGTTGAGAGATGACTGAGATGAAGATGAGGGCCACATACTCGACAATTCCCGTAGAGTTGTTGATCTGCGCACCACAAATGTCAGTGTCTTTCCTCTCTAGTATCTTGTCCAAACCTTCCATGAAAGCGAGAGCGATCCGAACTAAACACGGCAGCAGCAACTAACCTTACAAACCGTGCCAGCCTGCAGCAAAGCGGTAGTCCACGAATCACCATCAATGCCAATCCAGGCCGCTGCCGCCTGAGGATACGTCGTGATACCGGGCCGCTGGGTGCATGTGGGATGTTGAAAGCTACCATGGATGAGCTTAATCTGGTTGGTCGACGTGGTAGTCCTTACGGAACCACACCAGTTAGTACTCGTAGCGATTGGATTCGTCCTTCTAACCCGTCTCAAAGTCGTAGCTCCTATCTTCGGGTCACCCGCATCGACGGTACGGCTCCTAATGCGGCCAAGGGTACCTGGTTCGAACGGCCTGAGATTAATCTCGGACTGCGGCACTGGAACACCATTGTGTTCGGCTGTGGAGGTGAAGGAGAACTCGGCTAGGATTGGTTGGGATATTACGCCCAGAAGGAGAAGAGCTGTGCTGAGGAACTTCATGGTAAAGGTATATGCAGGAGCTTGTGAGGGCTCAATAGTTGTGATAAAGGTAGTCGCAAAGCTGCAACAAAAAGATATCTACAAGACTGGAGCAAGCCTTCTTGATGAGGTAAAACGGACTGGTGAATCACTGAAGACGACAGAAAGACTGTAAGGATTCCTCCTGCTTTATCTGTTTTCCCGACGACCAGAACACAAGGAAGTCGCGACTCTCACATGGGGCAGGAAATGGAAAGGGCCCCCTCGACCTTGCCCTTGCCAAGCCCATGCATCCACACAGTTCTTTCCCTCCCAGGGGAAGTTGAAGTCATATCCATCGAGGAAGAGCCTGCTCGTGTTCTACAATGGGCTGAGACCACAGCTACATCCCAGCAGCACAAAGGAGTGGCAAGACGACCAACGACCTTTCCTTTTTCAACTCAACGTCCTCAAGTCTTCAACCAACCAGGCTTCAGACATAGCAAAACCTGAGCCCCATTGTGCCAGGCGCCTACCCGCAGTGACTGTGAAGCAACTGTGATATTGAGAGACATCCTGAAGGATGGATGGTGGTGTCCATGCGTCGATCACATCCTCCTTCTGACTCAGGCGTTGTATTCGCCAATGCGTCCTCAGGGAACTGGTCATGCGAAGGGGGAAGGTGTAGTGGTTGTGAGGCACAAATGCCACGAGTTCGGTAGTATCTGACAGACTTGAATTATGTAATCCTGCCTCGGATGAAGTGTGTAGCCGGTCGAAGGCTGTGGTAAATGATGATGCCTGGGCAAAGTGAAGCACGGAGATGTCCGCCGTAGAGCACAGCAAAGTCGATGATCCCACGACGTTGAAGTCTTGGAGGAGCAAGCCACCGAAGCAGCCCCCGGCCGAATGTGAGTGCCAGGAGAGCTCCACACCCACCCCGAATGCCGGTTACAAGGGGGAGTTAGCTATCTCGCCGTGCTCGCCGTTGCAACAGTGATCCACACAGCTTCCCGTTACGGAGTCCGTTCACCCCAGTCTGGATCTGCGGAGGAGGTTGCCCGAATGGAGACTGATAGCACTCAGTCCGCATTCAAGACTTAAGATGGCAGGACTAAGGCCGAATATCTCGATGGCTTCCGTCGCCATGTGCCCGGGCGCTTAAAAGATGTTGAATTCACTGTGTCAAAGGCGCTAGTAGGAATGTCGGCTATGTATGCGCTTGCGTCAATGCTCAACGACATATCTGGTGATAATGAGGAACATACTGACCGAAAAGACCAACAATCTTGGTTTTCTGCATGTGCCTGGGTGGCCTCTTCCACATCCCCCACCTCCGTTACTAATGCCAGGAAGTTGTGAAGTGGAACACGAAAGTGACCTTTGGCCAGCGCCACTGTATTGCTGATTCCGGTGCCTGACTGCCTGACTGTGCCCTTATCCGCCAGGCGCCGATGGTGTAAGATGTCAGGCGGTGCACGCAGAACACTGTGGCTGCTTCGGACAAAACATGGCTTTTATCAGACGACTTGCCCGAGAGAAAGTTGGCTATCCCGTTGTCTTGTGTGACGTTCCGAATGGGAAAGTGACGACACCAAAGGGATGCTTTTGGCTGTATTCCCTGATATGCCTGCTCCTGATTGATTTTGTTTAGCTGCCATAAGAAAGTTCTTGGGTCATCACATATCTTACGACTTGCTTTATTCTGTGCTGAGTGTTGCGTTCCGCAGTCATGATACTCCAAGGGTATCATGGAAGGATGTATGGACTCGTTCAAAAACGGCCGTGATGAGCCATTCCACGGCACAACAACATTGAAAGTTGATGAGACATCGAGGAAGATTTGAGAAATTGTCGAATGTACGAGGTAACAGCGGCCCCCACGTAGCCTATATCATCCGGAGGACTATTGATGAGCTGCATCGCAGGCCGCCCGCTGCAACGGTGCAGCCGCAAAGGAGGTGCGCATGTGCATACCTCTACATCTTGACTTGGTGAGAGGACTGTTCAATGACAATGTACTCACAGGTCTACGTTGCGGTCGAAAGACTTCACGACCTGGTTTTCGGTGGCTTTTGAAGAGGGGAGATTTTCAATGATGTTCGGTAGCGAGACGAAGCGAGGAAGATGAGGTGGGAGTGGCTAAAGTGCGTACATGAACTATCAAGGGGGGTGGGAAACCGGGAGCCAGGGTAGGTAGCAACCGCAACGTGGGAAGCGCGTGATGCGCAGCATGCGCAGTGCAGGTACAGTGTCCGCCCTGCAACATCGGGTCTTGGCGGAAGTGACGAGCTTGAAAGTTGATGATCTGAGGAGGTGCAGAGGAAATGGCCATTCCTTTCGATATAAGTGCAGGGGTCATGAGTGATGGGAAAGAGCAGTTCAGCAAGCGCTATACTCAATCTGTTTGTTGGGGGCCATACAATCGAGGCTTCTTTCCGTCCATTGCTACCGTCAAGGTATAGGTAGGTATCCTCTTTGAACGCAGGAGACGCGGCTCCTTCCTTTCTCATATACCTTTAGTCACTTCCATGGTGACCTTCTTTGTCACTGCTGAGATGCAATGGAACACTTGGAATGTGTCCGAGGGCCAACAACTGATTCTGACATATGATGCAGGTATATGGCAAACAACGTGTCTACTTGTCCTTTGGAGTTTGGACTCCGAGGACAAAGCCACATCTATGACCTCTTCGTGGTTGCCTTCGCATCCATACCTCCTTCAGGTGAGCAAGGTGGCAGTCAATGAAACCAACAGCCTTGCTGGCCTCCCGCCCCGATACTTTTGTACTGTCGGTTATGAGCCTTATGGATATTGGATGGTCATTGGAATTCTGGTTCGGACCAGGGCTTTTGCCGTTGGCTTACATGTGTGCTGAAGGGCATAATTCGAATGTGTGATTGGCGTTACGGTTCAGTGACACTTGCTCAGCAAATCAGGGTCTTCGATTACCACCGTCAGCCTCCACGCCGCTGCGGCCAAGACAGTGACCGAGAAGCTTTTGCTTCGTATCTCATTTGGTGTAATGGCAAGAGAAAACCCCTTCCAGACCATGTGTTTCTTTCTGCCTTGAGGAACTTGGGTTATTGGTTGTCTGCTCGCAGCATCCAATGACATGCCCAATATTGTGACGTTATGTCAACTCGTCACCGATGGACTCGGAGATGCTCCGAGATGGTGGTGATAGTAAGACTGGAGTTGGCACGGAAGAAGGCAATATCACCCAGTCATGAGGCACATGAGAAGTTGTATTTGCACACTTTTGTTCCTGGTGGTTCGTTGTCTTGCCCCATTTCGATCCAACGCTCGCGCGGCTTCCTAGACGAGGATGGCCTTAGGAAACAAATCCCGATTCCCGAAGCCACCGGCGGCAATGACTGGGCATCGGGCTTGCCCGAGTTGGGTGAGGATGGGGTGTGATAGACTCCCAAAGAGGATACATTGTCACCTACTTGGAATCGGACTTGATGATTGGGTGATGGATGTCGCTCGGCGGCGGCCGTCTGCATATAGACGTTGCTCTGTGGCTGAATGTGGGACTCCTTCATCTAAGACATGACCATGTCGTGAGCCCTATGTCTTCTGATTAGGAGGTTTATACATATTCTGTATCAACCGTCAACATCTCAAACGTTTCCGTAGTCGGAGTGTGGTGAACTTTGGCACATCCGAAGTTTGGGTGTGCATTCGCTTTTTCTTTCCGCTATCGGAAACTTGATCGGCCCCATATGGAAGTGTGCTCATCACAGCAAGTTTTCCGCACGTGATTCGCTGAATGGAGTTGCCTCATATCAGAAAATCTGGCGTTCGAGGCGTGGAAATGTGGCGGACAACGATGGAGATATGGCCAAAACGGCTGGACCTGATGATGATGAAATGAGTTGGATGCTCGAGTCAGAGAGAGAGAGTCTGCTCATTGCGAAACCAAAACCAAAGATCCAAGATATCAAAAGCAAGGCTCGAAGTATCGTGCAACAAAGATTTGGGAGCGGAA